AAAAAAGAAAATTATGGATGATGGGTGATACTGGAAAATGGAAGAAACGTGGCATGTTTCTCGCACTATTGGAAAGTCAAATTCTTGCATTTATGTAAGTTCTAATTTCAATCTTTCACTCCTGAACGAAGGGTGAAATTTGTCCATATTTACGAATATCAGCATGCACTGAAACATTAATATTTAGTTCGATTTTACTAACTTTTGACTGAATACTTTTGGATTGGAAAGCAAACAGAATATTCATCAGTATTACATAAGTTTGTTGCTCTGACTAAGAGCGGCACTGAAGCTTAAGACGCGAATACATTCAAATTATTGTTGAAAACAGCACAAAATATTTAGTTGGTTTGAGAAAGTGGAGGAGCGTGAATGACCGTGATAACGAACGCCCGGAAAAAAAAACAAAGCCACTACTCAAAGCCAAGTTAAAGAACAATGAGGAACAACCTCTAGAACTGTGCAGCATCTGAAAAAGGGAGGAGACGCTCCACCTCTAATGGTCAGACTTCATCGGCTTCATCGGTTGCTTGACAAACTCGTCAAAGGGCATTAATCAACCAGTCCTGAAACAACGTCAGCCGTGACATAGGATATGAGCTTTTCTCAGATTGGACATGGATCTTGCCTAAAACTACTTAACCGGTGGTACAAATCATAAGCTCGTCTTTTAAGTCCAAACTTGCGAACTGCTGAAGACAACCAAAAGAATTTCAGAAGCTCAATTATATCTTTACCTAGAAGAAAGCCTGTAAGGAACGGGCCAAGGCGTCGATACTGATCAATCGAATGCTTATTTGGTAAGTGCATCGAATCAGTACCTATACCATTCTAAAAACAGTTACGCACTGGTTTATTTTCCATTCATTTTTAACAATGAGAAATTTAATAATTTGTTTGCTAAGTATCGAGCATTCAGAAAATGTGAATATTACCGTCTCTAACGAACTGAATTAATCAGAAGACAAGTATATTTAATTATCACTTATATGGCGCCGAGTAGAGAGGATAGTGACGGTATGGTCTGATTTTCTGTTCAGGTGTCAATGCGCTGTCTTACTCGGTAACGTTAAAGCAGGTACGGTACTACAGATGATGCTGACGTTACACTTATTACTGTATCACTATGGGTCTTATTTATGGCCTTCACTATGGACTGAATAATTCCTGCAGCAAAGCGCTGCTTTATTATTAAAGGTATACTTGGAATTTGTCATCTCTGTTTAAATCAAGTTTACACTTAAACGGAGACACAACAACGGCTGATTGTGCGTGTGGAGGAACCGTCGCTTCAATAACTCACTATTACACTGAAAAACAAAACGGATTTTTTAACAGTTATTTCCTTTCCATTTTGTCGAAACTTAAAACGATAGCTGCAAGCATGGTTGCGTGGGCGTCCCGCAAATACATTAAACAATAAAACAAATTCTCGTTGTTAGTATGTGGCGCAGCGAATAAGTTAATTCGAGCCCTAACATTCGCGGTGGTGAGTGACCACGCCTCGCTCTGCGCAAGGCCTACATCCACAGGGGGGCTTGAGTGTTTCTAAGACGAAACCTGACTCGTTTGATCACCTACCAGAACTCCTGCGAGGAGGAACCGCGAGTCACATGCTGAAAAGCGCAGATGTTGAACCGCGATGGCCAACTTGCCACGTAACTCGAACCTCACCGCAATACAAGCTGGACACCTCGGGGCTCCCACGGAAGAAAGATGGCTGATCTGCTGGTTTGGCAACCAGGACTCTTGACGCGAGGCTGGAGCTGCAGTTCTGCTGTGCCCACGAGCGAAAAGCGTTCTGTGGTCGAAGACACCGGCTATCGCTTCATCGTTTGTCGATTGCAGCCAGGCACGAGAAGACGAACTAAGTCACCGTAGAGAACCTGAAGAAAGATCAGATCTGCACCTGTTTTATTACTGTTCTTGGTTCTTTCCCGTGACATTATTTATCAGTCCTCATCTTTGACCTCAGCGACAACGTCGGCGTTGATCACGACAGCTGGCTCGGTGAGCTTTATTAACACGGCAGCGGTACTGACAATATGAACGGTCACCGACTGCTACACCTCTATACTATGCAAGGCTTCTTAATCGGCAGAACCCTGCTTCCGCATCAGGAGAGGAAGACCACACCAAATGACCATTTCCGTAGCGAAATTGATCATGTGCTGATGGTAAATGGCGAAGTACCCTCCATGACACTAACGATAAGCGAGGGGACAAATACTGGTGACA